CTGTATTTGATTGTGTTTATCTGCAGTTAGTTACACGAATTCAGATATGGGATGAAATCGGATAAGGATGAACGGGTTTAATAATATTTAAGAGTTTAAGAGTTTTTAAGAGTTTTAAGAGTTTTAGCCAAATGCTTTATAATATAGTATAGATATACACTAAAAATCAAATGAAAACTTTAGTACTTATGTTTTTACCCCACATGAATTACCCTTTTTGGTTTTCTAGAATGTATTTTTTATTATTTAAACTAATTATTAAATGGGTTTACAGATTCATTGTATGTATTAATTATCGATAAATATTTTCCAAAACCTATCATAATTTCATAAATTTATTTGTTTATCTTGTCAATATATATATATATATATATATGTGTGTGTGTGTGTGTGTGTGAGAGAGAGAGAGAGAGTTCATTCAAAAAAGAATTGATTAGTTTGTGGTAATCGTGAAATCCAATATGAACCGTTCGTTTGAGATATATAAGGATATTTCTTAAATAAGCTAAAAATGTAATATAGTAATTCTATTTTTGACAATTAATCAAAATATTTAATTAAATTTTGTAGAAGTAAAATATTTAATTAAATTTTGTAGAAGTAAAATATTTAATTAAAAATTAGTTACCTAATATACATCGTATTTTAAAGGCGTTTGTGAATCAAAGTGTATCATAGTAATAACGTTCACTATGTTTCACATGTATCACAATGTATTTTCTTTGTTTTATGAAATGTATTATAGTGTGCATTTTCGTTATTTTCATTGATTTACAAAGAGTATCACATTGTGCATCTTGTATGTATATCTAGGTATTACAGTGAATATCGTTTGTAGGTATCACAGTGTAGATCTTGTGTTCACATAAGGTTCATCGGAATAAGGTTCGTAGAAATGTTCTTAATTAATATTTTAATTTCAAATTACAAAAATTATTAATTTTCTAATTTAACATTTAATTTATGTTTGAGATTGGATCTGATGGTTATCACAAACAAAACAGTTCTCATTTGAAAAAATACAAACCGTTTGAACAACAAATATACAAACCGAAACC